ACAACGTCTCAAACAAACATTTGTTTTCAAATAGAAACTATCGATATTGAAATGATTGAGCATCACTTCATATTTTTAAACAAATAAGAGAAACAATTAATTTTATTTCAATTCAAATAAAATATTATTTTATATCTATGAAATATTGTTTATTTTTTTAATTGTAAATATAAAAATACTAAATAATTAAACTTATTTTCGTCACTAAATGTAACAAAATTGTAAAAGAAAAGGTTCCAAAGAATGATAGAGAACGTGACACAATCTTACAATGCATTAATAATCATTAAACAGGTTTTTCAAAGAAGGCTACTTATTTTATTTTTAAAAATGCAATCCTAAGATTCATTAATAACCATAAAACATAATTTTTTTGAAAAAACGCAATTTTGAAATGTATTAATAATCATAAAACATTTTTTTCTAAAAAGACACGACCCTGCATTATAACTATATAACATTTTTTTTATAAGATGCAACTTTTTTTTTATAAGATGCACATCTATTATGCATTAATAACCATAAAACGAGTTTTTCGATAAGATCGAATCATATGAAACATAATAACTATAACACATTTTTTGAAAATATGTATTTTTATATAGACCGCTCTTTTGAAAAGGCGCAATCCTAAAATACATTGATAAAATAAAATTTATCGAAAAGACGCAACCCGCAAATGCATTAATAGCCACAAAACAGTTTTTACATAGAACATCCCTAGAATGCATTAGTAAGCATAAAATGATTTTTTTCGGAAAGACGCAATCCTCGCATTAATAACCATAAAATGACTTTTATAAAAGACATAACCCTAAGAGAAATTAATAACGATAAAATGACTTTTTCGAAAATATACAAACCTTAGAGACACTAATAACCATAAAACAGTGTTTTCAAAAAGACGCAACCCTAGCATTAATATTTATAAAAACAAGTTTTCGAAAAGATGCAACTCTAGAATGTAAACTATAAAAACGTTTTTTCTAAAAGATGCATTTTTACATGTACCAATTTTTTCTGAAAAGACGCAATCCGATGATACATTAATAACCATAAAAAAAATTCCGAAAAGACGCAACTCTAATATACATTAATAACCATAAAAATGGTTTTAACTAAGAAGACACAACCATATGATGATGTATTAATATCCATAAAACAATTTTTTCAAAAAAACGCAATTCTAAGAAACATTAATACCCATAAAATAGTTTTTAGGAAAAGACGCAATCCTTACAGACTTATCACCATAAAAAGGTTCTTTTCAAAAAAATGAAACCCTAAGAGATATTAATACCCATAAAATAGTTCTTAGGAAAAGAAGCAACCCTTACTGATTTATCACCATAAAACGGTTTTTTCGAAAAAACGAAACTCTTAGAGAAATTAATAACCATAAAACATTTTTTTTGAAAAGACACAAACCTT